CTGCCTCAGCCTCTGGAGTGTTGAGACTATAAGTGTACACCACCACACCTGGCTTCCCTTGGTGTTATTTGAGTAATTTTCTTTTTAAATTTGAATGATAGGAAAGGAAGATCAGAGATTAGATCATTTTCAACTGCAATAAAATTGCATTAAGTATGGACAAATAATTATTATTTATCAAGGATCAGGACCAAAGTTTATTTTCCTCCATTGTGTAAATTCTTAGTAGACCTGTAAGTGGTGTTAGGTGGGTTAATGTTTAACTAAACCATTTCTAGTATACTTGAATAACAAAAATTTCTACTTTTCTGATACAACCTTGATGCATCAATTTCAAATAATTTTTAAAAAGTTCTTCAAGCCATAAGAACTTTATGAGGGCTTTTTTTAAAATTTAAGAATGCTTAAACATGCAGTAAACTTTGGTGGGTTAGCAGAGTCTTCAGGAGTAGGATTAACCTTGAACTGATTCGTATAGACTCAGAAATGCAAGTTGTGACTGCAGCACATTGGCAGAAGTAAGGCTTTTTTTTTTTTTTTAAAGATAGGGCCTTGCTGTGTAATTCAGGCTGGCCTCAAACTCACAAGGATCCTCCTGCCTCAGCCTCCCAAGTTCTGGGATTACAGGCGTGCACCACCAGATCTCACATAGACATTTTTTTTTTCTTTTGTACCAGGAGTTGAACTCAGGACCTCATACATGCCAGACAGGCGCCGTGCCCCTGAGCTATATCCCCAGCCCAGCTTAGGCTTCCTTTAAAAGGATAGACAAAGAGCAAAAATAGGGAATGGAAAGTAACATCACAGCAGGAAGCAAGCGTTTAGTTATTCTACATCAAGCTTTTGACAGATTCATTCAAAATGATTCTTACATTGTTAGTTTGCCTTTTTCCTCATAAATAATTTGAAACAAAGACTTACATTTAGTAGTAAATTTAGCTTTAAATTAATGCTCTCTACTAATTCTTTAGTTCTAATTTTCAAAGAAAGGAAATAAAAATTAGGATAATTTTAAATGATGCTTAACATTTTCAGTTCCAAGTTCAGTCAGCATAGTCATCAACTGATATTTAGTCTGAACCCCTTGGGTGAATGGCACTGAACCAGAGGCCACAAGAAATGTTATCTCCTGCCTACATGAGCAAACCAGCTCTGGAACCATTGCTCTCAGAAGCTACAGATAATAACATTTGATGTTAATATGTTGAGAAACTCTAGTCTTGGTATCAATAAAAGAAGTTATACAACAAAAAAAAATTCTTTTTAAAACCTGGGTGTAGCTCAGTGGTACAGTGCTTGCTTGCCTAGCATTTGCAAGGCCGTGGGTTCAATCCCTAGCAGCACACATGCACGCACACGCTTGCACGCACTCACGCACACATGCACACACAAATAAAAAAGAAACTACTTACTTTTTGTCTTGAATAAAGAAGCCACTGTCCTGTGCAGTGATACACTAAACATATGGAGTTAATTCATTCATATTTCACTAAATATCATTTTAGCATGAAAGAGTTGAACTTTGAGTAATTATTACATGAATAATGCAACACTTTCATTTGATAAGTAAAAATCGAGAAATGAGTTGATTGAAAGCCTACCAGGTAGAATTTTAAAATAAGAAACAGAACGCTGGGCAGGGTGGTGCATGCCTGTAATCCCAGCACTTGGGAGGCTGAGGCAAGAGGATCTCCATGAGTTCTAGGCCAGCCTGGGGTATATGGTGAGTTCAAGTTCAGCCTGAACTACATAATAAGACCCTGTCTAAAAAAAAAAAAGTGGTAGAGCCTCCATTGAAAATTTAAACACAAAGAAATCTTAGTAAGATTTCAAAAATTTGTGAGTAAAATCTATTTTTACCTGACCTCTAAGGTTAATATTACATTTCTGTTGAGGTATAATTATATATTAAAAGTGTTTAAGTATGGTCAGATTTTAAGTGCTTATCTATTTCCCAGTCATTCCCTAGGCTTATTCCTCCTCATTCCAATTCCTTTCTCACTGGTAGGGTTCCTATTGCTGGCTACCCAGTCACTACCATTCTCACACCATTTAAGGTAGCTCTGCTGGGTATATTTATTCTGCCTCCTACCATTCAGTTTCTCTTTTAACCTGGCTTCCTAAATCAAGTTGACAAACCAGTTTATTCCCCACCCCCCTTTTCATTTCAACAACTGATTTAGATTGGCTAAGAGGATATCATGTATTCCCGGCACAACCCCTTACCCTTGGAATCTGTACTTACGAGAGTTCCTCCTTTCCCGGCTGAGCGTGAAGCCAGGCGGAGTACCTTGGGAAGGACTCCAGCCCCCACAGTTCCCTCGGTGCGCATGCCCTCTCTTCTTACAGTTGTCAAAGTGCTTTTGCCAGAGCGGTCACACAATCAACCTGAAAGAAGAAAATAAATACTGTACACTTTAAAATTTTATCTATCCTTAAAAACTGGACACTCAAAGGTAACTGCTACTATGAATTTGTTATTTGAAATTAAATTAATGCATGTAAAAGACGATCTATTGTGTGTGTTGTGGGGGAGGGGAAGGAGGTGTCTATTTCTCAGACTTCGCTGTAAATAAGCAAAACCCCCAATTCAAACTAACTATGGAACAGTTATTGAGAGATATTACATATTAACTTTGTAAATTTTCTCTTAATCTACTGCTTACCTTTTGTTTAAAGAGTCTTGTTTGGTAAAGGTGGGTCTTGACCTTGACAAATTGAATTAATGCAGAAAGTGAAATTCGTATTTTTAAGAATTGTTGAGAAATGAGTGTTCCTAGCATAACATTTAAAAAATTGAAAGACTATATTAATATTAATTACAGCAATTATAAAACATTCTGAGTCTAGCTTACTTTCTGGCTTGTTACAGTGCAGTATTAATTTTTCCAAGAACATGTAGTTTAAACTTGAAAGCAAAAGCATTGATACAAGCTACCAGAAAAGGTGGGTGATACTAGAATTATAATCAAATGCATATTTCAGCCATGATGATATGGCTATTGTAAAGACAATTCTAGCTCACTGGAAGCAACTCAAATCCCTGAATTACAATGGTTTACCGCAGCACTGTTTAATTCAAACCAAGTATGAAAATGTATTTTTCTCTGGCCGTCTTCCTCGGCAGTGACAGAACTTTGTGCTGTCTGAATCCAAGGTTCATTTATCTCATTGTGTTGTATTTTGCAATACTGGTCAAAGGCATTGTTTTAGGCCAAGGGAGCTCAGGAACATAAAAGCAATATTAAGTAGGTTTCATTGGTATTAGCTGGCAATTTGCAATGCATAGTATAATGGTTTGGGGCTTTTTTCCTGGGGGAATGGGAGAGGTGAGTTTGTGAAAAGTAGAAAGAACAGTAAGGTGGCTATAAAGCATTTCCTTGAACCAGTATTTTGTATATAAAACTTTGAAACAAAAAATATCAATTAAGCATATTAAGAATAAGCTTTACTAAAATAATAGAACCATTTTAAATCTCTGGCTGACATCCATTGTTTAATAGTTCAGAGCAGTATCTCCATTTTATAATAGTTAGTGTGAAGAGATTATCTAACTGCCCTTTCACAATTTTTTTTTTTTTTTTTTTTGAGACAGGGTCTCGCCATGTAGTGTAGGCTGGCCTTGAACTCATCATGTAGCCCAGGCTGGCCTCGAGCTCATGGCAATCCTCCTGCCTCAGCCTCAGTGCTGGGAACACAGGCATGCACCACCACACCCAGCATCACAAATGTCTTGACAAAGATGCTTCTCCAGTATATGAGTTATTTAAGTAACTTATTGAGTATATTATTAACTTTGTTGAAATTGTACTGAATCATCACCTAAAAATAATTCTATCTTTGGTCATATGCGTCTTTAATATTTCAAAGTATTTGTTTTCAAGGTCTCAGTCCTGTCATGATACATATTTAAAACAACATGTTCTAAGCGACTGGCTAACTCAATAACTATATGTATGGAAATCTCTTGGTTTTGAGTGATTACTATTTTCATCCTTGAATGAGAACACAGGCTGTATGATAGAGGTGAATATAGCCCTTCTATGTGAAATGGAAAATACCATACACTCCTTATATGGAGAAATGAAGCAGTGGTGGCAATGCACTATAATTACAATGTATGAGAATTTGGGACTTTGTACTCCTCTATTTTTAACGCTTTTGCTAGCACATGGTAATTCAGGGTCGTCAAGCCAGCCTTTTGCTGCTAATACTAGTGATAAGAGAATGAATTCTAAATTTGCCAAAGTCTTGTGACCAAGGCAGCAGCAGGAGGATTCAAAAATGAAAATCTAGCAACCCCAGAATTATCTTCACTGTCTACTTAAATCTCAGATGAATTTTAAAGCCCCGCCTCACTCCACCTCCCTCCCTTCCTCCTTTCCTCCCTCTTTCTCTTTCGCTCTCCCTCTCTCTCGCTGACCTCAAATCCAACCAGAAGCATTTCTTCACTCTGCGGAGAAATTCTCAGGCTCCTGTTGAGATATGAAACCCTGAGAAGCCAAAAAACCTCTTGTGCAGCAGAACTAGAGACAAGAAAATTGGAGAATAAACAGAAAAAAAAACCATAATCCTTTAAGTAACAAGAAGCAAGCAGTTTCAAATCTTTCAGTAGGTTTTCGCCCTTTTAAAAACGGTGTTTTGTTTTGTTTTTAAATGTCTCCTAACAAAATGGAGTAGCTGCCGCTACTGGGAGGCCAGAGAATGTGCAGCTGAGCCCTTCTAACAAATGCCAAGGATTTCCTCCCACGTGGTTTGCTGCAGCTAAATGAAACAATTATCAAGGCAAGAAGGCAGTTTACTAATCAAGGAGGCATTTTCTTTCTTTCTTTCTTTCTTTTTTGTAAGTGCTCGATTTGAGGAAGGGGGAAGAAAGGGTCGTGTGCGGTGTCTTTTTAACCTTGCTGAAGGACGCAGCAGTATTTATTGACGTATGCAAATAACTGGGGGAGGGTGGTGCTTGGGAAAAAACAGGAACCAGAATCAGTTTCTCATTGCAGGGTGAACGCTCTGAGTTCCGGTGAAGGGAAAAGAGACGTGGCGAAATTGCTGTCTTTCGGTCTTATAAGCACATCTCTCACTAATACAGAAAAGGAACCAAGACATCAGAAAGGGTGAAGACGCTCTCACAGTATTTTCAGAGACCTTGCTTGAACCTCCCTCCCCAACCCGACCTGTTCTAAATGGGGGATTATGGATTTGCATTGCAATTGGCTAGTAGCGGTGGCATTGGATTTTCGCAAGTGAAACATCTGCCCGCTTCCGAGAGGGGCATTAATGATCACATTGTCAATAACTCATCTCTCTTTTTTCCCGTTTCAGCTGCGCAAACCATGCAGGATGATTTACTGATGGACAAAAGCAAAACCCAGCCCCAGCCCCAGCCCCAGCAGCAGCGGCAGCAGCAGCAGCAGCAGCAACAACCACCCCAGCAGCAGCAGCAGCAGCAGCAGCAACAGCAGCAGCAGCAGCAGCCGCCGCAGCCACAGCCGCAGCAGCAGCCCCAGCCCCAGCCCGAGCCCAGCGCAGCCGAAGCCGCGTCCACGCCCCTCTCACCGGAGACCCCCAAGCCGGAGGACAGCAGCGCAGTGCCGGCCCTTACCCCCGCCGCGGCCCCGCCAGCCCCCAACGGCCCAGACAAGATGCAGATGGAATCGCCGCTCCTGCCGGGCTTGAGTTTCCATCAGCCCCCTCAGCAGCCGCCGCCGCCGCCGCAGGAGCCCACGGCGCCCGGCGCGTCGCTGTCGCCGTCCTTCGGCAGCACCTGGTCCACAGGCACCACGAACGCGGTGGAGGACAGTTTCTTCCAAGGGATCACCCCAGTCAACGGGACCATGCTCTTCCAGAACTTCCCGCACCACGTCAACCCAGTCTTCGGAGGCACCTTCTCCCCGCAGATCGGCCTGGCGCAGACCCAGCACCACCAGCAGCCGCCGCCACCAGCGCCGCAGCCCGCGCAGCCGGCGCAGCCCCCCCAGGCGCAGCCCCCGCAGCAGCGCAGGTCGCCGGCCAGCCCCAGCCAGGCGCCCTATGCCCAGAGGAGCGCCGCCGCTGCCTACGGCCACCAGCCCATCATGACCAGCAAGCCGTCCTCCTCTTCGGCCGCAGCGGCCGCCGCTGCCGCCGCCGCCGCCTCTTCGGCCTCGTCCAGCTGGAACACTCACCAAAGCGTGAATGCCGCCTGGAGCGCGCCGTCCAACCCGTGGGGCGGCCTGCAGGCGGGTCGGGACCCTCGCCGGGCGGTGGGCGTAGGCGTGGGCGTGGGGGTTCCTTCCCCACTAAACCCTATCTCGCCGCTGAAAAAGCCCTTCTCCAGCAATGTGATCGCGCCTCCCAAGTTCCCCCGTGCGGCCCCGCTCACCTCCAAGTCCTGGATGGAGGATAACGCTTTCCGGACCGATAATGGTAACAATCTGTTACCATTTCAGGTAATGCTCGGGTGCACCTGTACACGTCTTCCCTGCAACCCTGCTTTGTCCGTCTTCCCTGCCTATTAATTATCCCGTCTGTTTTTTGTGTAAAAGGGGCAGCATTGTCCAGCTGCCCCAAAGCCTCCAGTTCACTGGGGCTCTTCCTCTCTAGGTGGATGAGTGGCTCATGGGGAAAGCAGTATTTGTGTGCCCTGTCAAAGTAGAAAAGGGCCTTTTTCTTTTTTCTTTTTTTCCCTCCACCGTGATTGTGCTTCTCTTTTTGACCTTCCTTGCAAATAAAGCTGCAAGTGTATGGCAATGTGCTGACATAGTCTCAAGATGAGTAGGCTGAGATTCCTATCATTTTAAGTAGCTACACATTTTAGGTTATGCAATCCTAGGCTCAGGGTGCTGCATGAAAGCTGTCCACACCCACACCGTGGCCTTTCTCTTAAGGGGTTAACAGCCCTTTAGTGGTGTTCTTTCAAACAGTTGACTGTAGTCGATAAAACTAATATGAACACATGTGTTTATGTCTCAGGTGCTGAAATCATTAATAAAAATCAGCATATTGCCCCTACCGGGAAAATTATGGATTCCAGTAAACACCCAGAACTGTAAGGGACACCAAGGTGGAAGATGGAAATTCTAGATCTAGGAGCAACCATTCCTATGTTACCTACAAGGATTTAGAATTTTTTTTCCAAAGGAAAGAGACAATAGGACACGACCTTCAGAGCCATATTGCAATGGAGTCTATTTGCTAGCTAGCACTGAAATATTTAAAGCTGCAGTGTCCTTCACCAGTTTGGTTATTTAAGAAGACAATGCAGATCAATTACACCATTTGAAACTGGGCAAAGTGAAAGTCTTGCAACTTTAATGAAAAATGAGTCTTGTGTCTTGGTATTAGATGCCAATGAAAAATCCAGGAAAAGCCCCAGACAAAAAGATTGAATGGAGAGTTCCCTTATTTCTGTTCCTGCTTTCTGTTCCCAAACACAGCCACAGCAGTTGGCAGTGACCTGGACATCTTGAGTCAGAAAGGAGGGAAGAGCGCATGTGTGTTCTCTGGGGGCTTTTGCTCTCACTTAGCCTTCCCTTAGAACTGATTTGTCTGTAAGCTTCTGGCCTCAGAGAAGGGGAGAGAAAAGGTACCAGACTGACCTGGAATTGTGTGGCCAAGGAAGTGAGATAGAAATCCTTTGAACAGTGCTGAAAGATAATGGAATTTACAGTTTAACAGAGGTAAAGTGTCAGCCTAAAGTGGAGCCTTCATTTTGTTGGTCTTTACATCTCATATGTTTGGAGTAGGTCCCCTCCAAGAAGGAAGAAATGGAATTATTGAGAACCTAACCTTCTAAGCTATGGCCAAGGGCTTTTGTTCTTGAAAATTCAAGAAAGTCCATAAAACTTCTAAATTATAGATTTATTATATTTTTTTAAAGACAAAGTATTGATGCTTATCCCTGGCTAGTCTTGAACTTGCTATCCTCCTGCTTCAGCCTTTGTTTTTTTGAGACAGGGTCTTGCTATGTCATTCAGATTGGCCTTGAACTATGTAGCTCAGGCTGGTCTCGAATTTGTGGTGGTCCTCCTGCTTCAGCCTCCCAAGTGCTAGGATTATAGGTATATGCCACCACACCTGGTCCTGCTTCAGTTTCTGAGTTCTGGAGAATATAGACATGTGCCACCATGTCATATAGCTTTAGGAGAGTTTTTAACAAGAAAAGATCTTATACCAAATTTCACAGGGATCCTTCAGGAATAGAATATTTTAATATTCATTAAGGTATATTTCTTTCCATTCTAAAGTTGGTTTATTTCAGTAAAGCAAAGAGACTGCAAGATGAGATTAGTTTGTAGAGAAAAGAAGAATCTACCTTCTGGAATTTTTTGGCCTTTCTTCTCTCTCTCCTTTTTTTTTTTTTTTTTTTTTTAAGACCAGATCTTACTGTGTGGTTCAGACTGGTGTTGAACTCACTTTATGGCCCAGGTTCACTGCACTCTTAAAAATCCTTCTGCCTCAGCCTCCCAAGTGCTGGAATTACAGGCCTGTGCTACCATGCCCGGCTCTGGAGTGTGTCCTTTCTTTTAGAAGGAGTAGGTCTGAGGAAGCTGTATTTGGTAGGAGAGATTGTTTTATTATGAGGCTTCCTTCCCAAATCCAGCCTGAGCTGATAACCTAAATCCTTAGAGAAGTTCAGATTTGGTACAGTATGGAAAGATCTAGTTATCTTTTTCTAGGAGTTGTATCTGAATACAACCAATTTTTTTTTTTTTTTTTTTTTTTAAATCTTATTATGTATGTTTCTCAGGCTGGTCTTGAACTCCAGTGCTTAAGTAGCTCTGTCTCCGCCTCAAGTAACTGGGATTACAGGTGAATGCCCCTGTGCTTGGCTATTGAATATAATCAGTTTTTAATTAATTTCTCCTGAAAAGGGGATTGGAATGACATTAAACCCACAAAGTTTTACCAAGCCTGATACTGATTAGTCATGTGGGGATTGCCAGTAGTTTCTCAGCAAACCATTTACCAATGACATTAGTAAGAGTCAAATGCACTGGATTGAGCCTTGTCTCTTGTCTTTTCATTGTGGTAGTGCTATTGAGTAGTCAAAAATAGTCAAAAGACTTGGAGGAGAGATTTGACTAAAAATTGAGCATTGTTTACTTGGCCTCAGGAAGAAGTACATGTATTGTATGTCTCATTTTTGTTTCTTAAAATGGAGCTTTTGGGTTTTGAAGAAGTATTAGAATCTGAAGAGCCGGGCTACAGGGAGACCGAGACAGGAGGACATCTTGAGTATAGAAGTTTAGGACCAGCCTAGACAACGTAGGCAGAACTCATCTCTTAAAGAAAAATGAAATAAAGCTGTATGTGGTGGTACGCGCCTGTAATCCCAATATTCTGGGAAGCTAAAGCAAGAGGATTGCAAGTTCTAGTCCAGCCTGGGCAATTGAGTGATTTAGCAGTACTGTCTTAAAGTTAAAAATAAAAAAGGGGTAGGAATGTAGCTAGGAATGTTCCTACCTTTTGTAGGAATATATATATATCAGAAATCCATGCCCTTATAAAGTGGTTCTTCATTCTCTTTTGCCATTTCCTACCAACAATAGATTCAGATCTTTATTTATGTGGTTTATATTATAGATATAATAACTATGTTTTAGTGTGGTTCTTCAAACTACTTAGGCTTTCTTATTACAATAAAAGTGATTAGTTTACCTGTATCAGGGTGGCTGCTTGCTTAGGAATTCCTTCCATCTAAAGCTGCTTCATTTCTAAAAATAAGGAAATTGAGGTCCTGAGAGGTTGGGTCCTAAAACTCTGGCTAACTTTGTTGTTATGCATCGTTAACTTCGCTGTGTGCTGGTGTTGTCAGGGACAATTCATTTTAAGTCAGGCTGTCTTTGGACTCCACCCAGAGGACTTGTGATGGGACTGTTTAACAATGTTCTGTCAGGCTGATGCCTCTTGGTAATGGACAGTAAGTCACTGCACTGGAAGAATTATACATATGCATTATTCTGTATTTAGATGAGACAAAGAAGCCTAAGGATATAAAAGGACCACAAGAGAATTATTAGTATTATTTCTTTTGAGACAGGGTGCCACTCTGTAGTAGAGGCTTGCTTTGAACATTCTATGTAGCCTAAACTGACCTCAAATTTGTGATCTTCCCGCTTCAGTCTCATGAGTACTAAGATTACAGTGTGTGCTACCACACCTGGCCAGAGATATTTTTTGTATGTGGTAAATTTGGATTTAAAAAGCATTGTTGCCCAAAGAAGGGCCTTTTTAGAGCACCTATTTCAGACTCCTCATTTTACAGAGTAGGAAATCAAAATCCCAATGTATGAAGTGAGTTGTCCAAGTTCAGGTAAGTAGTTTCTGTCCGACATAGGATTTTGTGGCAATATCCCCAGATTCAAATCTCAACTCTGCCAATCATTGGCTTTGCCATAATCTTGAGCAACTTATATGAACATGCTTGCATTCAATTTCTTCATTATAGAAAATTTTGTATTTCTTGTCCATGTCTAGTTAAATGTCATTTAGTGCTAATTTTCCTGTTGGATTATCATTAACAAAGGAATAAAATTCTTATGTAAATTTTTGGGAATATATAATATTTTAAAACAAATATGCCTATTTATAATGTTTAAGGAACATTAATATTCTTCAACTTGCTCATGCCCTTCCCTGCAACCCCTAATGCTAGGGATTGAACCCAAGGCCTTAAACATGCTGGACAAGTGCTCTGCCATTGTTACATCTGCAGGCTTCCCCTCCCTCTTTTTTGAGACAGGGTAATCTCTAAATTGCCCAGGCTGGCCTTGAGCTTGCATTTCTCCTACCTCAACCTACTAGGATTATAGGCATGTGCTACCACACTCACCACAGGCTTGTTTTTTAATAAAGTAGCATGATGTGGATTTAAAATTGTAGACTCTTCTCTAGTTGACTTTTGAACTACTATATTGCTCTACTATAAAACCACTTAAGGTCTGCCCACCCCACAAACTGAATAGGTTTCAGAACCTATTATGACATGACTGATGTAAATGCTAGCAAAGCAACATTATCTATATTCTATTTAAAAGGAGGGCATGTTACCACACATGGTGGTTAAGAAATATTGGTCTTCTATGCTATTAAAAACAATAAACTGTAAAAATTGCGTGTTAAAAAGTAATTAGGTTTATACAAACTTTTCCTGATCTTGAGGTAAGTGGATATATAAGTATGTGTTCAGAAATTAATGCTTTTAGATGCCAGTGGTGATGGTGCAGTGCTTGTAATCTCAGCACTCAGGAGACAAGGACAGGAGTATCATTGTGAGTTTGAGGCCAGCCTGGGCTACATAGTATGTTCAAGGCCAGCCGAGCTACATAGGGAGAACCTTTCTCAAAAAACAGAAAAAAGAAAAAAAAGAGTTAATGTTTTTAGATACTCTCTGACAAAGACAAAATTTTCTACTTACATAGTATTCTCCTTTGGTTAGGTTATTTTC